CATTTTATAGTCCCATTTCATCGGCCCATTTCATCGTCCCATTTTATAGTCCCATTTCATTGTCCCATTTCATCGTCCCATTTCATAGTCCCATTTCATCGGCCCATTTCATAGTCCCATTTTATAGTCCCATTTCATAGGCCCATTTCATCGTCCCATTTCATCCATCCATCCATCTTCTCCCGCTTATCCGTGGTCGGGTCGCGGGGGTAGCAGTTCCAGCAGTTCCAGCAGAGAGCCCCAAACTTTCTTGGCGACATCAACCAGCTCTGACTGGGGGATCCCAAGGCGCTCCCATGCCAGCGAAGAGATATAATCCCTCCACCTGGTCCTAGGTCTACCCCTTGGTCTCTTCCCAGCTGGACGTGCCTGGAACACCTCCCTAGGGAGGCGCCCAGGTGGCATCCTAACTAGGTGCCCGAACCACCTCAACTGGCTCCTTTCGACGCGAAGGAGGAGCAGCTCAACTCCGAGCGGCTCAACTCCGAGTCCCTCCCGGATGACCGAACTTCTCACCTTATCCCTAAGGGAGACACCAGCCACCCTGCGGAGAAAACCCATCTCGGCCGCTTGTATCCGCGATCTCGTTCTTTCGGTCATGACCCATCCTTCATGACCATAGGTGAGGGTAGGAACGAAAATGGCCCGGTAGACAGAGAGCTTTGCCTTCTGGCTCAGCTCCCTTTTCGTCACAACGGTGCGGTAAAGCGACTGCAGTACCGCTCCCGCTGCTCCGATTCTCCGGCCTATCTCACGCTCCATTGTTCCCTCACTTGAGAACAAGACCCCGAGATACTTGAACTCCTTCACTTGGGGTAAGGACTCATTCCCTATTTGGAGTGGACAGTCCATCGGTTTCCTGCTGAGAACCATGGCCTCAGATTTAGAGGTGCTGATCCTCATCCCAGCCGCTTCACACTCGGTTGCGAACCGATCCAGTGAGTGCTGAAGGTCGAAGACCGATGAAGCCATTAGAACCACATCATCTGCAAAAAGCAGTGGTACAATCCTTAGTCCACCGAACTGCAGACCCCCTCCCCCACGACTACGCCTCGAAATCCGATCCATGTATATTACAAACAGGATTGGTGACAAAGAGCAGCCCTGGCGGAGGCCAACCCTCACCGGAAATGTGTCCGACTTACTGCCGAGGACCCGGACACAGCTCTCGCTTTGGGAGTACAGAGATTGGATGGCCCTGAGTAGAGACCCCCTCACCCCATACTCCCGCAGCACCTCCCACAGTAACTCCCTGGGAACTCGGTCATACGCCTTCTCCAAGTCTACAAAACACATGTAGACCGGATAAGCGTACTCCCAAGCCCCCTCCAGGATCCTTGCGAGAGTAAAAAGCTGATCCGTCGTTCCACAACCCATTTCATCGTCCCATTTTATCGTCCCATTTCATAGGCCCATTTTATCGTCCCATTTCATAGGCCCATTTCATAGTCCCAATATGGAAATAACAGGAAGAAAAATGCATTCAAAGCTAAATATGTGTTTAAATACTATTTCCAAGTGATTCATGTGGAGCTGCAGAGATACCCAGTCTCAAAATCCAATAACTTGTATATATGGAAATGATTCCATTGTTATTCCCCAACCCTCCTATCTGCACTGTGGTAGATCAAACATATGATTGTTGATAGCCTTTAACTCCAGTGTTTTATTTTTGTATCTCAGAAGCTGCTTCAATCTCGGGAAGTGTTGATGATGTCAGAGAAGAGGAGCTGATCTGAGACCAAAGACACATTGAATATCAAGGTATTGTTTCCTGGCTTGATGAGTGCTTACATCCTCCAAAGCATGTCTTCATGTCTGTAATGAATAACCTGTCCTCCTCTTCTTCCAGCACTGACCGTCCAATCCTCAGCTTCAGTTCCAATCAGGAGACGTTTCCTTGTCAGACCTCAACCCAACCACGTTAATCCTCATTATCAAGCCTTACCAACAGTTCTTTCAGCTATGTTCACTTTATTCTTGTTACTTCAGTACAATGTGTGTGTTTTGCTTTGATGTTGTTCTGTTGTAGACAACGCTGCTTTGCTATGTGTTGTTGCTATATTTCTTTGTTCAAGAAATGAAGAGAAGAACAGAAACAGAATGCCAGTATTATTTTCAAAAAGCACTTTGATATGTCCATGTACAAGCTGGTTAGCTTATAATGTACAGTTTTGTTTCTCTACTTGGTTGAATATAAAGAGGTAATGGCCTAGATATATATATATATATATATATTCTATTTTGAAAATGATACCACATTGAAGGATTGAATGTGAGCCGCAGATTGTGTTCATTATCACGCTATGGCATTTATTGTATCCTTAATATAGGACGATGTTGGTTTTTCTTCAGAGGTGTGATAAACTGAAATATATAGAATAAAGGATTTATTTTATGGCACAAGTGTCGAGTCTTAATTTTAAATCATGTTCTTTCTTTATTGAAACATTTCCAAATAAAACGTGATAAAGGAGACCCATATGTTTAAAATAAGAGCATTTTCATCACTGCCTTTGCCATGATCTTAGAGTATGGTACATGCTCAGGCCTACCTACCTTTGCCATGATCTTAGAGCAGTGGTTCTCAAAGTGGGGGGCGCGCCCCCCCAGGGGGGCGCAGGGGCATGACAGGGGGGGGGGGCGCAAGAGACCAGGGGGAAAAATGGTTATTAAAAAAAAAAAGAACTTATTTTGAAAAAGTATTGATTGAAAATAATATGATGCAGTGCAGTACTATTACGTCTGGGTCTCTGTGTTTCATTAAAGCTCGGCTCTGTGTGTGTGTGGAACGAGCCATTTTGTGTGCGTGCGCGAGCGAGAGAGAGCGCACCGGTACCGGAGATTATTCTTGTTAGCTTCTGGTGCTAGCGAGCTACGCTAACGGATATAAGGAGTTTTTTCAACAACAAAGTGGAGGAGAGTCCTCTCCTGTCAGACTGAGAGACTCAGTGAGCTAAATGACTCTCTGTGTTATCTCAGTGGGTCTCAAAACGTTTTGGTCACCATTAATGTAAACAATTATTTCCGAGGCACACATTTATATGATCATTAAAAACAAGAGAATAAATTAAAAACAGGTATGAAATACTATATGACAGTAAAACAAGAATACAGTTTAAAAGGGTGATTTGTAAAATATCCATAAAGAAAAAGTAAATCTGTTTACAGTTCTGTTTCAAATGGGTGTTGAGAGATGTATCCATAGATCTCTTCATTTTGCTCTCAAAGTGCACCAGATTGATGCTTTTAACTTCAATATTTAAAAATCTTCCCGGGGGAGCTTGCCCCCGGACCCCCCCTATGTGAGGTCCACACACCACCTATAAAAATAGCACTTTACCCCTGCTTACACCTAGGCCTATATGCCGTGAGCTGATTATCGAGCCTTCATTGTAACAGTTGTGGGTACATTGTGTATATGTGTGGGGATTGTTGCAATAGAAAATTCCACTGTATCGACAGGTACATTAATGGGAAACCCTAAATGTTTGAGCACCCTCTATGAAACGTCAAGCTACCCCACAGCACCCCCAAAATAAATCTCTGGCGCCGCCACGGAGCCTGACTATTTGTGTTGGGGGGGGCCCGACTTTTTTTTTTCTCCAAAGGGGGGGCCTGACAGAAAAGTTTGAGAACCACTGTCTTAGAGTATGGTACATGCTCAGGCCTACCTACCTTTGCCATGATCTTAGAGTATGGTACATGCTCAGGCCTACCTGCCTTTGCCATGATCTTAGAGTATGGTACATGCTCAGGCCTTCCTACCTTTGCCATGATCTTAGAGTATGGTACATGCTCAGGCCTACCTGCCTTTGCCATGATCTTAGAGTATGGTACATGCTCAGGCCTTCCTACCTTTGCCATGATCTTAGAGTATGGTACATGCTCAGGCCTACCTACCTTTGCCATGATCTTAGAGTATGGTACATGCTCAGGCCTACCTGCCTTTGCCATGATCTTAGAGTATGGTACATGCTCAGGCCTACCTGCCTTTGCCATGATCTTAGAGTATGGTACATGCTCAGGCCTACCTACCTTTGCCATGATCTTAGAGTATGGTACATGCTCAGGCCTACCTGCCTTTGCCATGATCTTAGAGTATGGTACATGCTCAGGCCTACCTGCCTTTGCCATGATCTTAGAGTATGGTACATGCTCAGGCCTACCTACCTTTGCCATGATCTTAGAGTATGGTACATGCTCAGGCCTACCTGCCTTTGCCATGATCTGAGAGTATGGTACATGCTCAGGCCTACCTACCTTTGCCATGATCTCAGAGTATGGTACATGCTCAGGCCTACCTACCTTTGCCAAACATCTTTATAAGGTCATAGTTTAAAATGTAAACTATGACCTTATAAAAATGTTAGTAAGCAGAGTGAAACTAATTAGTGGTATTATAGGATACCTGTGGTGTCTCACAGAGAGATACCGCAGGTCCTTCCTTCCTGCAGTATTGTGGTCAGACTATATAACCACCACGGCCCCTGGTAGACCCCCATACACACACAACACAGACTACTACACCCCTTGTGAAATACAAATGATGTGCAATATATATGTATGCTGTTAATAACTGCAATATATATTTGGCTGCTATATCTTCAAAACTGTTACAGAATGTGTATTTTGTAAATTGTGTAATTTCTTTTATTTGTTATCTTTAAAAACAAATGATGCATGCTTCTTAGTTAACATTAAGCTTTATTTGGCTCTTTTCTGCTGTAACAAATGTAAATGTCCTCTGTGGGACGAACAAAGGCATTCTGAATCTGAAAAACTTGTTTTATAATGAATATTCCCTCTGTTTATGTTGGTGTTGGTTTGATACAAGTGTAGTATAGATACGTATTATTATTTTATCAACTAAATTGAACAGGCCATTCATTCATTCCATTGTGAGTCCACTGTTTTGTTTCTGTGTGGGTTGATTAACTCCATTCCGTATTGACCAATCACATGAAAGTAGGTTACATTCGCACATGCGCAGAGGCAGCAGAGTAATTTGTTGATATCCTGCTTGGTAGTATTAATTTAGACTTTGGTATTTCAAAGCAACATTTACCCCCACTGTAGGGTTTTTTATTTGCATTTGGCAGCACAGTTAATAAGAACGTTATATATATGAAGGGCTAATGGAAGACACAAGGGATTTGGTGAGTGAATATGAAACATTTTAGGGCCGTGAGCCTCTGATTACAGAGGATTTGCTTCGGCTAGCGCTGCTCCTTTGTTGTTATCTGCTTATGGTAGCTAGCTAATGGGTCAGCCAGCGTTAAATATGAGCAAACTCCAAAAAAACAAGTATAGACACAAAATAACACCACGCTTATTTGAAATGCATATGTTCATGTGCAAGTATGCTACGCAAATGAAAAGTGCGTTATGCTCTGTTGAATAAAAGCAGGAAAAACAGGTTTCCGCTAGCTAGGTATGCTAAGGCTAGCTAGCATTAGGAGCTATTGCCAATAAGGCCGCCCCTTATTTTAGATGATGTGTTAGCTTGTTTTCTATTTTGCACATCTCACATTCAGCTCAGTGTGCGTTTGCTGGCTGGTGCATTGTCATGATTCTTGCTGTTTAAATGATTTATGTTAGGATGCCACCTGTGATACCAAGAGGAGGAAGTAGACAGGCTGTCAACAGTAAACATTAAACCCCGCTCCGGATCATACACACAGTGAGCAAGACGTATGAAATGAAATGAATATTTACATTTTTTCTGAACATTTGTTTTGTTACATTTTTTGAAACATCTTCTCTGTGGCAGCCTGATTCCTAGGTGACATTCCAACGCAAATTGTATTTTTAAAGAGTCCGCTAAATATAGCCTATGGAAAACTGCAACTGTACACACACCTAACGCTAACATTTAAAACACGACATTTTGAAGAGGATTCTTGAGCTAAAACAATTACTTACAGTTTGAAGCTAACATTTTGAAAATCAATGATCTGATCTCTGCTTGCCAAATGCAAACTTGCTGGTTTCCTTAAAGTTGTGTGATAGTCAAATGAATATAATGTGGTCCTTGGACACAACAATAAGTCTAAAGATGTCCTTTTCACTATTTTCTGACATTTTATCATCCCAACAACAAATGATATCAGAACGTATTATCAAGACTGATGGAGTTAAATGTATAATTGTAAATACTGGTGTTTATTGTAATATCCTTGATTGTGAAGGCTGAACGCACCCCACGTTCAGAGCGCAAGCGGAGAGACTCGTTCGGGATGTTTGATGGCTATGACAGCTGCAGTGAGGAGTCTACCAGCAGCTCCAGCTCAGAGGACAGCGAGGACGAGGTGATGCCCTCCATCCCGGCCAGCCTGCCCATCATCAAGAACAATGGACAAGTTTACACTTACCCTGACGGAAAGGCTGGAATGGGTCAGTACATGGAAATATGTTTAGTTGTGCTTTCTATTTGATACAATCCTGTTTGTTAGGAAATATCATTTGCCATCATGTTGTATACTGTTTATTTGACCAGATGATATGTGAATGTTGGTCTCTGTTTCACAGCCACTTGTGAGATGTGTGGGATGGTTGGAGTACGAGATGCTTTTTACTCAAAAACCAAGCGCTTCTGCAGTGTGTCATGTTCTAGGAGTTATTCCTCAAATTCCAAAAAAGCTAGCATCTTGGCACGACTCCAGGTACGCTTTTTCATAACAAATGAAATATTAAATGTAAGATTAAACATGTATTATTACAACTATTTAACTCTGCTTTTATTTTGCCAGGGCAAACCACCAACAAAAAAGGCCAAAGTCTTACAGAAACAGCCCCTCATGGCAAAGTTGGCTGCTTACGCCCAGTACCAAGCGAGTCAGCAGAACCAGGCCAAATCAAAAGCAGGTAGGTTATAAAACAGGACAGATACTTAATAGACAAACAGTGTTTCTCTGTGTGGTTACTCAAACATTGTTTCCTATGTCTTCAGTGGTCCCTGCAGAGAGCTTTGACTGGGGTCGGTATATCTGTAGCAATGACACAGTTGGAGCTCCAGTCAGCTGTTTCAAGCATGTAAGTCAAAACTGTGGAGAATGGTTGAGTTGATTTGTTGTTATTCTTGACTGATTAACCTCACTGCTCCCTCTGTGCTTCAGGCCCCCATGGGGACATGCTGGGGGGGCATAGAGGAAGGAGTGAGGCTTGAAGTGCCCAACTCTGATACCAACCTCTCCACTAAGGTGTACTGGATAGCAGAAATCATTAAGCTAGCAGGTAAGAACATTTCTTCAGCTAGCTGAAGGACTTTTGGTTCATGGAAAAATCTATCCAAAAGTGTACCAGAGAATTCAGTTTCTCTTTTCTTTCCGTGAGAAATGGCTGCAATGATTTGAATTGGTTGTATCACAGTCTAATATAGATCAGAATATGGTAAATGCATTCAAGTCTAAATATTCCCATGGAGGTTAATACTGTGCGCTGTGTGTGAAATACACACATGTACTTCTTGTTCCAGTGCTGATTGATTATGGCAAAAATAAATCACAATTATTTTGGTCAATATTGTGATTACAATTCTTTAACACTATAACTTCAAGCCTTTAGAAAGAACATTGTGTGCATTTCAAAGTTAAATGCATCAATCTGGTGCACATTTAAATCCAGAATTAAAAGGATAGAATATTTCAAAACGTTTGCTCTTGAAAACTATTTAAACAAACACATTGGGAAAAAGTGACATCTATAAAACATGGTAACCAGCCCATGTTGAAAACATCTCAGCAGAGTGCACAAAAGTATTCCCCTGCCCTGGAAAGTGTCAAGGTCTTGGCTATGGGTGTTGCAGAACTCACAGCCGGAGCCAGGTGCCACCTTGGCCACTGAACCCTCCAGACCCACCTAGAGCCAGTCCCACCCACACTGAGGGGCCGAGCAGGGCTGAAGTGACAGCTGTTAAGAAATGTGTGCACTGGATTTGTAACACTAGACACGGAGCGTAAGAGTTCAATTGTTATATACCCTGTCACTGTATTCTATGGCATTGACAACACCACTTCACTAAAGCTGCCTTCACATCATACGCTCTTTGCTCACGCGAGGTGGGGGAAAACAGCTAGTTAGTTTTGTTTCTAAAGTTACCCTGCTAGCTTGCACCTCCTCATACAGCTGTAACCTGATTGGTTACGTGTCGAAAGGTCAGCGGCAGTCGAGGTGAAAGCTCAAATAATTTGAACTTTTCTTCCGGGGCTTTGGCCCCGGAAGAAAAAGGCACAGCGCTGTTTACTGCTGGTCATGTGAAGGCAGCTTTAAAGTCCATTCGTTACACTTACCATATGATCAGCAGATTGATTCTGCTCAATTCTAATGGAGCTGCAAATATTCAAAAATGCCACTATCCTTCTTCCCAAAAATTCCCTTCACATGCTCATTGACAGGAAACATCTAGAAGAAGCAAGTAAGGGGGTTTCTTGAATGGACGTTTGTTGGATGACTTTTCTTTCACAGATCAGGACTGAGATATGAAATGAGCGTGTTTTCTGTTGTGCAGGGTTCAAGGCTCTCCTGCGGTATGAGGGCTTCGACAGCGACACCAGTAAAGACTATTGGTGTGATCTCTGCGTCCCGGAGGTGCACCCGGTGGGATGGTGCGCTTCCAGTGGCAAACCTCTTATACCTCCAAAAAGTGAGTGTTCTGCCTGCTTCTTGAATGCCTGTGGTCTTATTCACTAAGCCGTATTATGATTGTTACATTGTAATCTTCTCTACAGCCATACAGCATAAATACTCTAACTGGAAAGCTGTTCTTGTGAAGCGCCTCACTGGAGCTAAAACACTGCCACCGGACTTTAATACCAAGGTAAGACCCACCATTTGTATTAACTTCAGTGCCAACATCTTTAATACAGATCAGGTGGCTTATGGTGCTTTATGTCCATTAAACAATTCCACATTTGAGAATGATTTGATCAAAGTAATCAGTGTTGATGTACATTTTCAACTGAATTCTTCTCAAAGGCATTTGATCTGTGATTGATCTTTTTCCACAGGTACAAGAGAACCTGCAGTTCCCCTTTAAGAAGCTGATGCGGGTGGAGGTGGTGGATAAGAACTACCTGTGCCGGACACGGGTGGCGCTGGTGGAGCAGGTGATCGGGGGACGCCTCAGGCTGGTTTATGAGGAGAGCCAGGACGGGTCGGATGACTTCTGGTGCCACATGTACAGCCCCCTCATTCATAATATAGGCTGGTCGCGCAGCATCGGACACCGCTTCAAACGATCCGGTGGGTTGGGAAACATACAGTAACACTGAGGTTGTGTGAGTGTGTTTAACGACAAGGTATCTTAACAAAGGCTAAGTTCATATCTAGCTAAACTGGTATAATAAAGTGATATGCCACAAAGGCAGCAGCCAATGTTTTTCTGTTTTGCTGGGCTGTGTGACTTAGACCTGTGATTTTATTTGTATCATTAAATGTACTTCATATCATAAACTACTTTGTCAAATTTGAATGATTTAAAATGAGCAAATTATAAAACAAAAAGCTGTATGATCTGCTCTGAAATGCTGTTTGTCCAGTGCTGCCCACTTGGAGAATCTTAACACACCCCTGTGTACTCAGCTCACTTCTAGTTTAGCCCTATGCTAACTATAATGGGTAGTTAACAGTCTAACTTCACAATTCGGTAATATATAGTTCTTCTCAAATGTGTAATTGCTGTTCGTTATCTGCACTGAATATCCTTGTAGCACTGTAACTAAAAAGCTCATATTTCATTGAACCTTTCAAATCTCATCTCAGCTTTCACTGTCTACAGTCTAGAAATCATGATGCTCTTTTTTAGGCGTATTTATTTACTTGCATCTCTAACGCAGGCAAGTGAATTTAATGTTGATTTATTTTTCAGATTTCACAAAGAAAATGGAGGGTCAAGTTGATGCTCCTGCACTGCATTTCCAGAAGGTAACGCAAAGCAATGAATGAATGTTTGGGGGAGTCCTACTGCTGCGTATTGAATTGATTTGTCAGTCTTTCAGAAACATAGCACTGCCCAAAAGTCACAGTTATTGATTTAGTTGTCCAACAAATATCTGACTACTTTCTGTCTGCATGTGAATCAGGTGAAAGATGTAGACCAGAGTGGGGATTGGTTCAAAGATGGGATGAAGATAGAAGCCATTGATCCCCTCAACCTCTCAGCTATATGTGTAGCCACTGTAAGAAAGGTAAGGCCTCACTGTGTATCATGCTGTGTGTCAGGGAGAAAAAGCTTTACTGTTCATGTTTAAACGCCATTGTGGCTTTGTGTAGGTGTTGGCAGACGGGTACCTCATGATCGGGATTGATGGTTCTGAGGCGGTGGACGGGTCAGACTGGTTCTGCTACCACGGCACCTCCCCCTCCATCTACCCTGTCGGCTTCTGTGAAATCAACAACATTGAACTCACGCCCTCTAGAGGTACTGTACACTCATCTCTGTGTCTTTGAGCCCTTCATAAATGAGCATTTCATTCCATTATGACCACGAGGATATGGAAGATTTAAAGTGCCTGAATAAAACCATTTCTAGAGATATCTTTCAATACAACACACATCTGTATGTATGCATTTACTGTGTCATTATGAAATGAAAAAAAGATGTTTGTCTTTCGTAAGTAAATGGTATGATGCTACATTAAAATGGAAGAAGCCAGAAAGCTCCTCATACAAAGTCTTGTCTGGTTGCGGAAACAGTTTGATATCCCATCTGTTTAAAGGGGGTTCAAATGTCTTAATACAGGCAAGATGTAACTTAACATCCAGTTCATAGACAGGCCCCTGCGACCTGTCAATCACACAGATAACTGTAACCAACTTGTGTCAGTGATGAACAACTCTCTCTTTCATCCCGCCCCCAAGCTGTGATTGGACAGTGGATTGGTTTTTCATTTTAAAATGTGTCTCCATTTTAGAAAAGAACCTGTTCCCTTGCATCTCCAGATGAAGACAAATGACTTTGCTTTGCATATTTATTTGGGCACTTTTAATCCTCCATACATGGTCTCTATATTATTCTATAATCAAATAGCATTTGCCTTAAGGTGACGTTGGTAAGAAGTAGTTTAATAACATTTTCTTGTGTTTCTGAATGTCCTGGTCTCATCACTGACTCTGTTCCCCAGGGTACACTAAACTGCCATTTAAATGGTTTGACTACCTCAGAGAAACAGGTTCAATAGCTGCTCCTGTCAAGCTCTTTACCAAGGTAGGCTGTGTTCATGCTTTCCCCACTGTATGTGTTAACGTCGTGTCATGCTCAGGTCACATGTCTTCTGCTATTATAGTTCTTGTAATTAAAAACAGCTTCAGGGTTTTCTATGCATCATTACATGTGATCAGCAGCAGCTGCAGGTCTGTAGGCTCCAGAGGATGGTGTTCTGGTTGATCATGTGACAGCAGTGTCCCCTCCTCTTCCCTCAGCACCATAGTCTGCTGGAATTGATTTGAGTCAATTGGTTTGAAAGCGACTTTTGAATTAGCAAATGGATGTCACGTTAATAATGCCACTGCTAAGGTCCTTTAATGGCTCCAGATTTCTTATGGGGATAAGCTGATGTGTTCACCTCTGCCTTGCGTTTCTTTCCCTTGTTCCATCTGATTAATGGATTTAGAATGTATCAGTTCTCCACTGTTTAGCTTACTAATGTTTATTTGTATGTCAATTCAAATAAGTTCCTGTTTGTCACTGTCCTGCGTCTCCTAGGAGATTCCTAATCACGGTTTCCGGCAAGGCATGAAGCTGGAGGCTGTAGATCTAATGGAGCCTCGGCTGGTGTGTGTTGCCACGGTGACGAGGATTGTGCACCGGCTACTGAGGATCCACTTTGACGGCTGGGAGGATGAGTATGACCAGTGGGTGGACTGCGAGTCACCTGACCTCTACCCTGTGGGCTGGTGTCAGCTGACCGGCTACCAGTTGCAACCCCCCGCCTCACAGAGTAAGAACTTCACCCCCCTCCCCCCCGTCTGATAGTCCTAAAGGCAGGGAGCGACATGAATCAGGATAGCAGAGAAAGACTTCATTCTGTTCGGGTGCTGCCTATTTCTAATGAAATGTTGAGCAAAAGCAACTCTTCTTGGTCAGCTTTCTTTATGAATTTGTGACGGGGCTCTATTTGTCCGTTCACAAACACTGGCCTAGTCGGTTGGGTTACGCTCCAAAAAACTTTATTCTTAACAGCAACAAAAAATATACGAACCAGCATACCTTAAACAAACAAAATAAAAGACAAAAACAGGCCGTCCATCACTCATTCAGAGTAAACGTGTTCTGGCTGTTGCCTTCTCTGCAACAAACCCCCGAACACATCCCAGCTGTTGCCTTCTCTGCAACAAACCCCCGAACACGTCCCAGCTGTTGCCTTCACTGCAACATTCTTCAGAGTGCCACAGTCCAAAAAACCCCGTCCCGTATGAGCCCATAGCCCCTCCCACAGGCTTACCGTCAACAGGTGACACAATTAGCTCAAAACCACATTTCAACATAAAAATCCGACCCAAACATAAACAGGTTAACCACCTCTTAACACAATCATTCCCCATAATTAACAAAAGTACAAATAAATAAGAAATTGCATGGTTCATTTGACGGAAGAGAGCAGGAAATGTTTGTTGTGTCGGCTGTCAGTGGCGGAGTCAGTCACTCTGTGAGCCGCTCCGCCACTGAATTGAAAGGCCAAATCTGCAGGAAAATGTTTCCCTTATACTTCCAACATGGTAATATATATTGCATACTGTCACATGAACACAACATGTATAGCACATGCACGTTTCAATCCGGAGAGAGTCACTGTATGAGTTCTGCTTTGTTGTAGCAGAACAAAGAACAGACAGCAAGTCTTAAGCTGTTGAGAAGCAGAGATATAACAAACATGGACAAACAATCGGGGGCTAAACTATTATAAATCATCATCAACTCATAGTTGGAAAATAAGTCAATATTCTTTAGTTCAAGGTTTCCAAATGTTAATATGTTCTGCTTTTCCTTAACGTAGTACGTAGTAGCAAATTGGATTAGGACTGATGTTAGATAAAACAGTTCAAATGAAAAGATTCCTCCGTCAGAATCATTGTGTAAAAAACAAGGAGTTAAAAAAGAATGACACTGATGAGTAAATGGAATAAGGAGGCTGCATGGTTGATATGTGAACAGAACTGTGAGGGCCCCTCATACACTGTGTTTACTGTGCAGGGGTCTTGTGATGACAGATGTCAGGGCGTTTAATAAGGCCAGGGTTAGTCCATACCCATCATACAGAGTGGATTGATGCTATTTGTGGCTTGTGCTAGATATTGAACCATCGATATACTTGAAATGATGCTGTTTGTGTCCTTGTTTTGTGCCTCACCTCACACACTTTGGTGTTAACAGATGTCCCGTAGTAACCTTTGTTCTGGTCTTCTTTCAGGTACCAGAGATCTGCCTCAGTCTGTACCCAAACAGAAGAAGAAGGCCCAGCAGTACAAAGGCCAAAAGAAAAGTGAGTAATCCATCTAGTATTTGTGTCTCTTCCTTCCTTCACCTTCTCTTTCTCCTGTTCCTCTCACTGTAACTGGATACACTCGTGCTTGAGAAATGTAGATAGTACTACTCAACAGCTCGTAGAGTATATTAGTGACGTATACAGATTAGAGTAGTTGTGAACACATGGCCTGCACACTGGGGTGCAAAGTGTTCTTCAGATATTCCAGAGCGAGGCGCCTGGTGTTCCATCCTCATGAGGCTATTGCTAAAACACAGGCAGTTTATGAAGACATCTGTGGCTGCCAGTAGGAAAAGTAATTCATGTAATCAAATTCAAATGTATAACACATGACTTATAAATACATTAAAAAAAAGTCTGGAAGTTGAGTTTTTAATTGGAACTATGAGGAATTAGGAACAATTATTATGATTGTATTACTTAAGTACAAAAAACCTCTGGCGCAATACAGCAGGCTTTTTCTTTTGAATATTTTGACTGTCCCCGATATTAAGTGGAGTTTGTGTTAGATCTGTATTTAGTTGTATTTCCACTTTCTAACTATGTCCTTTAAACAACCTCCCTTTGCTGCCCTGCTGGTAAAGCTGCATTTAGATTACATGATTTAGGATTAGCCTCATATACGATTATCAGGAGAGCACCCATCTAATGACGTAACAGTGTCCGGTGCCTGAGAACACTTCATGAGGAGTTTCAGTGGGGACCTAACAGCATCACACACACGCCTGAAGGAATGGAGCAATGAGCCTGGGAGAGATGTATTTAGTGTCTCTGTGCTGTAATGTTGGACAGAAACAAGAATGAAATGCATGGTGTGAGTGGATGTGATCTGCAGGGTGTGTATCAGAGAGAAAGAGTACACTCGGACATGCTGCTCTCAGGGTTACCTGATAGAAATGTATACAAATGCCAATCGATTTAATATCAAAATGGCTGCCACAGACTTTTACACATGTAGTTTAGCAGCTTTAGGCCTGTTGTTGGGAGCTCACAGTGGAAACCTACGGGAGTGTGATGACAGTTGAATCACCATAAAGATGGACAGAGGAACTCAGAGGTTACATTCAATGATAATGTAAACATGACGGTGGTGTCTTGTTTGAACTGAACCTGTGTGTAGCTAACCAGAGTGTGCTTCATGTTCAGAGAGGAAGATTCCAGTTGGTCGACGGCCCTTCAGTCAGACCGGCAGGAGGAGGAGCAGCTTCTCCGGAGACGAAGAGCAGAGCCCCCCCCCTTACCCTGCACAGGGGCCGTCTCGGCCACGGCCCCGACCCAGAACACACCTGCACCAAACACACAAATCAGGTACGGACTGACGGGAGAGCCAGCAGGGCACAGAGCCTCTGGGGGCTCGCAGGGCTGGAGCTGTGGAGCTGGCTCCTGCTGGTCACGCATGTTGTTTTCTTAAAACTACCTCATAACTCTTCTCACATGTACAGTTTCTCATGTCTGGATTGCATTTCCACTTGAAGCATAAATATAGCATGTTTGTTTCATTCATAGTTTTTCAAATAGTTGACTTACTGCGAGTTGGACCCAGGTTCCCCTGAACTAAAACACCCCTATTTGCTATCCTGGCGCCACAATGCTGGAACAAGCTCCACATTGATATCAGGGCCGCTGAGAGTCTACATATCTTCCATCACAGTCTGATAAACCAGCTGCTTCCACTGGGGGAACATAACATCATAAATAAACACATTTAAAGTGGTTTCCCTTCTGTATAGAATATCTTTTCTTTATTGTCATTGTACCGGTACAACCACATCATCCTGGCAGCGCAGATCTACACATCAACAAGTATCACATTAACATATATGTATCTATACACATAAATACATACATACATACACACACATACATACATGCACACACACATACACACACATACATACACATACATACATACACACACATACATACACATACATACATACACAAACACACACACACACACACACACATACAAACACATACATACACATACATACATACACATACATACATACACATACATACATACATACACATACACACACACACAAACACATACACATACATACATACATACATACACATACACACACATACATACACATACACATACATACATACACATACATACATACACATACAAACACATACATACACATACACACACATACATACATACATACACATACATACATACACATACACACACATACACAAACACATACATACACAAACACATACATACACACACACACATACATACACATACACACATACATACACAAACACATACATACATACATACATACACATACATACACACACATACATACACACACACATACAAACACATACATACATACACATACATACATACACACACATACATACACAAACACATACATACATACACATACATACATACACACACATACATACATACACATACACAAACACATACATACACATACAACCACATACATACACATACAAACACATACATACACACACACACACATACATACACATACACATACACACATACATACACAAACACATACATACACATACAAACACATACATACACATACAAACACATACATACACACACACACACATACATACACATACACACATACATACACAAACACATACATACATACATACACATACATACACACACATACATACACACACACATACAAACACATACATACACAACACATACAAACACATACATACATACACATACATACATACACATACACATACATACATACACATACATACATACACATACATACATACACATACAAACACATACATACATACACACATACATACATACACACATACATACACACATACATACATACATACATACACATACAAACACATACATACACACACATACATACACATACATACATACATACATACATACACACACATACATACACACACATACACACATACATACATACATACATTCAGTTCTCTTATTGCTCTGGGGTAAAAACGGTTTCTGAGTCCGTTTGTTGGACTTGTGATGGACCTATAACGTCTGTACGTACATAGAAAGCTAGCCTGCAGGATTCTTCATGGTCGAATACACTTATTGTAAGCAGAGGTGGCAGAAGTACTCAGATCTTGTACTTGAGTAAAATTAGAAGTACCAGAGTGTAGAAATACTGTGTTACAAGTAAAAGAACTGCATTCAAAATGTTACTCGAGTAAAAGTAGTGCAGCTAGTCTGAATGACTTTGTATACTGCAGGGTAGCTTGTGGATTTACTCCAGGTGGAACTAAAGTCTGATTCAACACTTGATTAGATTTCACATCATTCATCCACATCTGTGAAGTAACTGAAGGGATTAAATACATGTAGTGGAGGAAAAGTACACCATTTACCTCTGAACTGTAGAGGAGTAGAAGTACAAGGTAGCAGAAAAGTGAAATACTTAAATCAATTACAAGTACCTTAAATGACACTACACTACAGTACAGTACTTGAGTAAGTGTACTTAGTTACTTCCCACCTCTGATTGTAAGTTGCATTGGCTAAAAGAGTCAACTAAATGTAATGTAATGTCCCCCCCCCCCCTGTCTGCAGAGCCTCTCCTGAGGATGAAGGAGGACCCGGCGGAGGTGGACGAGTTCACCTTCTCACAGGGCACCTCGGACCAGGAGAGCAACGGCTCCGGCAGCTACTACATCAAACAGGAGCCCTGAGGGCAGGACCAGCAGGAGCAGGGGGGCAGGACTCTCCTCTGGGACCCGAGGATCAGGGAGGTGCAGAGTCAACCAGCCTCAAACCACACTCAGACCAACGCCTCAGGCCTTCATGGAGTCCGTACAGGAAATGGCGAGGAGGGGGGGGGGCTGTTCCAGGCTTCAGGGGGGTGTTCCCTTCAGGATTTCTCAGAAGCGTTTTCTAACCTTGTAGCTGCACATCACTCACTAAACCTGGGTCACATGTTCGGGCGTTCTCTTCGGACCACCTACGGATGACATCATGTTGTCTTAACATCCAATCAGATGAGAGATACTTGGATCTTTTTCCACAGAAATGGGAGTCCTGCGTGTGGACAGCCCCCCCTGCCTCTGCCACACTGGGCCGTGCACAGAGACCTGCAGAAACTGTGAGAACCTTTAATTGAGCCAGGTCTTTAATGTTGTATTTCCGTTGTGTTGTTTTCAGGTGAGTCGGCAGTGAGCGGCCGTCACAGAGTTGTGTATATTTTCATGTTTTCCTTCTGACAATATTGCCAGCTGGACTTATACTTTGTTAATAGTACTTGAAGTTTTTCTTTATATGGTAATGATTTTGGAGTTGCTTTCGTCTTAATGTAATTATTTTGCATCTGGCTTTTTGGTGGCTGTGTGGGAACCTTAATGTGCATTGTTTCATAAAGTGATTATATCCATATAGTATGTGGACACCTGTTCAAGTAGAAGTACAGAGTATAGGTGTAACTGTGGTGAGAGAGAGATCTTAGTACAGTGCTGCTCAGCGTCACTCATATTGCTCTTTTGATTTCAATTCTTACACATTCGGCCAGGAGATTTCCACAGCTTCAGAAATGTCTGATTCAATCATTCGGGCACAAAAACAACAATATCACAAAATCATTCATGGTAACACCTGGGATCCTTTCAAGTCGGCACAATGAAACGGATGATGTCAAACATTCAGGCTGCTACTATACTTTATTTGTTGATGAATACTTGGAGAGATATATATATATATACACACAGTCAGGGTTATTTCACACAGATGTAAGGTGTTTTCAAATGGATTGTAAAATTGTTGTTAAATTGTAAAAGTAATCCACAATCCACATTGAATCATCACATAGATCTGGCACCGTACAGTTGCCTTTCACTAACTGTACATTTCCACTTGTGAATATGCTGCAGCTATATTAAGTCCATTCAACTCTTATTTCCACTTTTGAACTTTTCCAATTCCCCAGACTAGCACCTTCCCTCTGCTGTCCTGCTAGCGCAGCTGCCTGTAGATCACTATAGAGGACATGATCTAGGATTAGCCTGGCATAAGATGATCAGGAGCGCACCATCTGATGAGGTCACAGTGATCAGTGTGATGTTGAACAGGAATGCTGAAGCTGTGGAGATGAACGGTGATCTGCAGGGTGTGTGTATCAGAGAGAAACCTTACTGGTATGATGGGTACACACTCACATGTTCTCACTGTCCACACTGCAACATGTGGAGCCCCCACTCACCTCTGTGCAGTCTGCAGTATGCCACAGATTTATAGACACAATCAGCATAACATGACACTCAATTCAAAGTAGAAAGCAATTATAATGCATTCAAAAACTAGATAGAAATGTATTAATACTTCTATTTCCTTATATAGATTGAATTGGATTTCAAGGTGCTATATCAGAATAGATTTCTCTTTAAAGAACTACCAACCACACCGTGCCTTCATCTGCGGCAGCTCTGTGTATGTTATAGATGGCACACTGATATTATATTCACTTATCAGAATACACGTATTTGAAGATGGAAAAAGAAAGCAAATGCATAATTGCTTTGCAATGCTTGTATTGATTGACTGATGCTGAGATGTGGCAAACTGCAGGCTATACTTCAGCAATTGTAGCATCAAGCTTTGGTTTCTGTCATTGAAAATAAGAGGTTGTCCAAATGGGAAATATGTTCAATATTTGATTAGGTTAATATGCAAATCCTTCATGTTGTTGTATTGTGTAGGTTGTTCTCATGTCGGAGCCATATGTATGCAAGCTAGTTTAGAATCACCTGAGCCACACAATAACAGGTCTGTGCATAATGAAACATGCTTTCCAATACTCTGAGGGCAGCCTCACATTACACCGCAGGATCAACAAGTGGCATAAATACATACATATTATATATATATATACACACACACATATATATATATTCTTCATGACTATGATGGTATGGAGTCCTGATAAGTCGGAGCTCCATGACAATATTCCTTTGACTCTTCTTGGAGCTAGATCTCTGCAGCTGATTATCTTCTACCTCCTGATGCTAGCCACGTTAGCTCAAACAGTGTGAAACAGACTGTGTTTGTTAGCATATGCAAATGAAAATGATTTCCTAAACACGCTCCAGGTGAAGACTACACACCAAACACGGAAGAATTTTATCACAGCACATAAGTCAGTCTTCGAATTTGAATGTTATGCAATAATAATAGATGGCATATAATTTTGTGAAATAAAACATATAGCACCGTCAAATGTCATGATCACTACATTAATATAATTAACATATGAGAGGATTTAACAAAATGCTATTGTATAACTGTGATTTTTGTGAGCGAGGGTTCATACGTACTGGCTCTCTGATCTAAATCCATCATCTCTACCAGTAAGGTTCATGGGGACATTCTCAGGAAGTCTGTGAAGCTCAGTCTACATCATCTGCGTCTGATGTATGGAAGCTAGGAAGTGCCATAACAATCCCAGAGCTTTGAAGCAAATGAAAAAGAACTTGTGGAATGTACCCACTATATGATACACATGTTGAAGCATGAATACCACTGAGCTCATTTATAGCAGCTGTTTGACCTGCTGTCTGAATGAACCTGACCTTAATTCCAATCTTTGTATTTTTATTTAACGCAATTCTTTCTTCTTCAAGGGTGTATAAAATGACAATAAAACATTTTATCCCAATAATTTTTAAATATACAATTTATAGTGAAAGTCAGACTTTAATCTTGTGTTCATTTATTATATATGAACAAGATTTTAAAAAGAAATAATTAACTAAGTGTTATTTCCCCACAAGATAAATATATTTTGAGATGTTAATCGCAACGTTCAAGCTGAACATATTCAGACTTTAGAGCCCACAATTCATGAAATCAATATATATATATATATATAAATTCAGTGTTATTTAAATGTGACATTCACTTTCAATAGTGGTTACATTTTACATCAGCTATTCATTTTCTTCATAGTTTTAATTATTATGGCGCTATTTGCTTCCATACGATTCAAGCAAAAAAGGTCTTATCTCACAAAGCAATTGATGTATTTCTGCTCATGTTTTGTAGCTTTTTAATGTCCTTATTCTACATCTGAGTGATGTGTGTATTTTCTTGTCTTACTAGATGTGAGATTTGTTCACCACCAGTTTGTTTTGAAGTCTCAGCTGAAGGCTTCTCAGACCAAATGAGCAATAACAGACCGTGTCTCACAATCATCGGAGGTTCAGGTTAGGATCTGTCACAGGAGTGATTCTCCATCATGTTGGAGGCAGAACAACGTAATGACCAAACTGCATTGATATCTTAGTAGAAGAGAAGAAAAAGACTGTTCTATGGACTAACTGCTGCTACCCTCGAGAGTAACCCTGAATAATGCACAATCAACACTGTTTTGGATCTTCACTTTCTCACCTTTCCTTGTAGATATTTCACTTCCTTGTTTCCTCCTGATCCTCGATTCTAAACATGGAACACGTTCGACGTCCATCACGGGTAGCTGAGTGTTGGTGTTTGGGTTCAGTAGCTGGGATGGTGGATCATGTGAATGCATGTAGAGGAACGCTTTGTGCTGATGTCGTGTTTCTTTGTTGTTGTTTGTTCTCCAGCCTGCTCTTGCTCTGTCAGCAGAAAGTATGGAAGCCCCTTTCCACCGAGAAATGAAAGGAACAAAAAGATTTAAAGACATTTCAAATGATGAGATTCCAATTAAAAATGTGTTACCAAGGCAACATTTAGGCTCATACATACTTTGCATATTATTTTGAGTACCAAATACGCAGTTTTCTTGGTGTCCACGGACCACAATTGTTAAGTTTTTCACATTTCGTAATTTTGACCCTTTAAAAAGAAAAAAACCTAACCTTAACCTTTAGTTTACATCGTACATCTTGGCCATTTTGGCCATCTCATAATTTTGATGAAGTATTTAGTCTCGTTGACCCACTTTTATCATTTTGGAATTCAGGTTAGGTTAGGGCCACATCTCATGAAAAACGACATCATTACATGCTAACTGGCTAATGCTAGCTGTGATTCTTCCCCTGGTGGTGAGGGGCTTCCAAAGAGACGTGTGAGGAGCGGGCTGTGGTTATATAATTGGTTTTTTTCTTGGATACTAACACGGGTCTTTTGTAAGTGATAGCCCCCCCTCCCCCAATTATATTAAACCATTATATCGTGGTGCTATATATATATATATATATTTGATAAAAATGACTTAATGTATTGCGATTACTATTGTCTGAAAATAATTGTGAGTTGAGAGGGTTATGGTGAAAATATATTTTGGATACAAATGAAAAAAAAAAAGATCTATGTTAATAATTATAAATCTATTGATATTAACACTGACCCCCGTGGTACATTATTAGATTGCAGTTTAAAGTTTGTACATCTTTTTGATAGTGTATACCATGTTTTCCTTTCATATGGTCACTTCGTGCTGTGATGGAGCTTTGATAGACTTTGTAAATAAAGCCAAATGTTGGATCATGTTATCGGTTGTGATGGATGGCTTCTTTGTTTACAAAATGTTTCCGCATGGCTGTGAAAGTTTATCTGGTGATTTTTGTAAGATTTGACTTTTACACTGAATAAAAAGGCTTATGACTTCCAACAGTGTGTCAGAGTTCATTCTGTGAGACACGCTGTCATCTGGACAGAGTGGTAAGTAACTCAGTACATTTACTCAAGTACTTTACTTTAGTAACATTTTGAGATACTTGTACTTCTACTCCACTACATGTATTTAATCCCTTTAGTTACTTCACAGATGTGGATGAATGATGTGAAATCTAATCAAGTGTTGAATCAGACTTTAGTTCCACCTGGAGTAAATCCACCAGCTACCCTGCAGTATACAAAGTACTTCAAACTAGCTGCACCTTTACCAGCTTTGAGAACACTTTCATGATCAATCATTATAAAACATATCATATTATTCTGAAATGGACCAATCAAACAACGACTACTTTTACTGTCGCTACTTTCACTATATTTTGATGCTAACACTTTTCTACTTTTACTTGAGGAACATTTTGAATGCAAGACTTTTACTGTAACAGAGTATTCCTACACTCTGGTACTTCTACTTTTACTCAAGTACAAGATCTGAGTACTTCTACTTTCACCTGAGTACAGGACCTGAGTACTTCTCCCACCTCAGCATACGGAGCTCCTTCACTGATCCTGGAACAGTTCGCCGTCCTTCATCCGGATTTGGTTCAGTAATCTGGTAATGCTCACACAGAGCTTGAACATGTCTGTCTACACTTTATCTGAGTTTGATTGTTGATATTTTATAACTTTTAACTCAACCGAAATAAAGAGTGATCACACAGACTATACTTTTACAGGAACACTGAACTAATCTGCAGTCAGAAGGACGCTTGATATAAAACACAATTGATACAGCAGAGTGTTCCCTCTGAACAGAGTCCAGCTTGTTTGATGAAACCTTCTTTAATAGTCACACACAGTGACATGTGTTCTCTGCTTTTAACCCATCCTAGTACCAGGAGTCTAGTTCTAGGAGCAGTGGGCAGTTATTGCACAGCGCCCGGGGAGCTGTGGTAGTGAGGTGGGAAGGGGGTGTCCAGTGCCTTGCTCAAGGGCACCACGGCAGGGCAGGGGGTGAACTGGGACCTCTCCAAGTAGCAGTCCACACTCCATATTTAGGTCTGGTCGGGGACTTGAACCGGCAACCCTACAGCTCCCAGTCCAAGCCCCTACTGACTGAGCCACTGCCGGACGGAGATAGGATTGTTCGGCGTCTTCAATTGGGAGCAGATGTTCCTAAAATGAACATCAGGTCGGCTTATTGAGGATTCAGATTTTAAACCAGAAAATGAAAATATTTGTACTCTGTGGGCTGATTTTAATGCATTTTGGGTGGATTTGGAAGATTTAAGGGACTGATTATTTATTGAAAAATAATTGAGATTGAGATAATCATTTTCATCTTGTGCTCTCTATATCCTCATGGTAGCCGAAATCAGCTATAAATACAGCAACTTTCTGCTTAAAACTGACTAAATGTCAGAAATGGACTAAACATCCGCAATCTAAAACTCTCCAAATCCGACAAGCCATTTGTTTTCATTTCTGGGTTCACTAAGCTGGCAACAACGACATGGTTCATTTTATGATAGAAAACACTTGCATGTCATAAACGAGATAAACACAAAACATATAGTGTTTAATATAATACATTTGTCATTAAACATTCTTATTACCATGTTAGGTGATAAAAAGGTCAGAGTATAGTTTGTCAAAGAAAGCGATAGTATAGTATCTCATTTAAGATCATTTGATAATATATCAGAAAACAAATCCTTATGTTTCAAAAAAGTAATTGTATTGTTGGAAAAGGTGATTTAAAAGTATTTTATATTAAAAGTTATCCCTCTACACCGCATACTGTTGCCCTCAGGCAACAAACCACTTTTTTCGACCTCACACTGGCCCTCTAAATATATATATATATATTTTAAATATACACAATGTCACCTGACATGCTGGTGTCCAATAAAATGAGGGAATGATATGGGTGTGGCATTTTGTCTGGGGGTGGAGCAGTCCTTTCTGCAAGCAAAGCTGCAGGGGACTCAGGGCCACCACTTGGTAAGATACATTTAACTTTTTAACATATTAGAAATGTACACAACTTAAAATAAAAAATACATGCATGTGCATGAATACGTAAAGAAGTATATTTGATTGTTTAAAGACTTATTATGTATTTATTAATGAGCTAAAACTATGTTTTGTTGTTCGTTGCCTCAGGGCAACACTGTGCCACTTGACCACTTTTTTCCAGGCAATATCATACAAGTGTGCTCAGCTGTAAAATGATAAACCTAATCAATGTTTTTACCTCTACTGATATTTACAGGAAATGGACAACAAAACATGTTATGGGCAGAAGGGACACGATCAGGCTGTTAGGGCTATTCCGTCTGACAGTGAGGACAGTGAAGGTCAACATAGGGTTAGGCACACACAGACACATATACACAGAAACACACACAGACACACAGAAACACACACAGAGACATACAAACACACACACACAGAAAACCTTTTGAATTCATACTTGTTTTTTCTATTTCTTCTGAATTGTAGAAACCCTTGGTGTTTCATACCCTCGTAGCACATTGTTGCCCTGAGGAAACAAACCGATCCCTGGTTGAGGTGGGGGGGGGGGGGGTCACATTTTATAATTGATATAATATCAGGGACCCCTAAGCTGCTAAAACACATGGTGAAACATTTTATTCCTCCCAAAATAAAAAGTCATGTCATAGAGGGTTAAAATATATGTCATTATAAAAACATAGTGGAGATGAGACGACCTGGACAGCACATGTTTCATGTGCATCTCTCTGATGTATGAGGAGGTCATCTCCATAAAGGACATTGAAGTGCATGAAACCATTTAAGGGTGTGTTTGTTCCCGGTCCTTACCAGTGGTCTGTGTGAGTGTGGAACTATAAGACCGATTGTCAGCAGTTCTTCACTGAAAGATCTACAGGTCAGATTCAAAGCTGAGTGTTGCAACATTTAATAATATAACTTCCAACACCAAGCTCTAAAGATGCTATGTTAGATCTCGGATCATGTTTTTCTCTCAAAATGTAATCTCAGACATTGAAACACAAATACAGAATAAAAAGCCATCATTAAAAAGAGATTCATTCATTTGAATAAAACCTGTATAAACTAAAGTCTGTACGCAGCATCTGTAAGGACGTATTTAACGTGACCCGTTTCATAACCAGTCCTCAGGACCTGCTGAACCTGAACCAGGTCTGCCCGTTTCAAGTGTTAACATTACACTAGTTTCATTTGACAGCAGATCAAGTGTTGAAATTATGTTGTTAAAATAGTTTAAGGAATAAACCTGAAAGCTAAAGAGTCAAACCAGAGAAACGGAGCAAGTTGCACGTCCGTCCTTAAGGATGGACTAATGCAGCACTTCTGGTCATGTCAAGTGGTGTGAAGTAAGTACGTAGGACTTAGTGAAGAACAGTGACAAAGGATGCTTCAATGACATGTTGCTGTGACTTCTGAGAGCAGTACACTCAAACTGTGTTCACACTGGTGCGGCTTTTCATTCAGATCTAAAGCCACCTTACAAGTGTTTGGCTCGTCATTGTTCATGCTGGCTGAGGGACTAGCTATGAAGCTAGCAGCTCTGACCTTAGTGAGAGACCACTTCACACATTTCATAAAACAATGAGGGAAAGCATGAGTCATTTGGAATGGATAGTGACATCGTCATAGAGACCATGTTACTTTAAACATTTGACAAACACTAAATAGCATTTTGAAGATGGATTCTTCAGAATAGTTCTAAAAAGTGCCGTGTGAGCCGGCTCAGGTCTTCACTGAGCCGCTCTGTAAGAGACCCTAATCTGAGATTATAAAACAGCTCTCACACACATTAGAGATGCATCACAATCTAATCCCTCCCATCAGGATCATATGTACATTAGTGCTGTAATCCGACCAATGAATGAAGAGCCGTTGTACTGTGAGCATTTTATTGGAAAGCAGATCACCGGCAACAAAACTAAAACAGTTTCAGGTCACCAACTGATATCTATGAATGATGGAATGTTTCTAATGGAATGAATTCAGACTTGTATCCCAGTACAGCATAGTGATGATGGTGCGTGGGACAGACATGCGTGGCTACAGGGCTGAGGTAGAGTTGCACTGAGTCTCAGTAGAGCCAGCTGTCAGCACAGCTGGAGTAGCTGCACAGGTCGCCCTCCTTGAACCACAGAGCGATCTCTGTGTTGGCACTGTCCACCGAGTCGCTGCCGTGGATGATGTTCCTGTGGGGGGTGGGCAAACATGAGGAAGACGGCAATACAAGGAATCCAAAGAACAGCTCATATCCCAAAGGGTTGTTCACAGTGACATCACTTTCACTAGCTGTCATGTGGTTTCCTTTTGCCTCACAATGCTTTCTGTCTGTGGAACTTTCACACAAGGTTATCTAGAATAATTGTATCATCTCGCCTTTTGAATGTATGCATCAATCATTGCTGCTACTCTTGTAATCAATGTATGCTTTGATTGTTCCATGTTGTCTATCATGTATGGTTGCATTCTGTAGGAGCAGCAGGTTTGTATGAAACTTGATGTATCTGCTGGCTCCTGATGTAAAGCACTCACTTGCTGACGTCGATGCAGAAGTCTCCTCGGATGGTTCCGGGCTTGGAGTCAGCGGGGTTGGTCTCCCCCAGCATCACCCTGCCGGTCTTCACGGCACCCTTTCCCTCCCACACCTGGACAGAGCAGAGGGAGGCATGAGATCTGCTTCATACTGCTGATCAACACACTTCTGACTTTCAGCTCCTATGTGCTGCATCTCTTACCATGGCGACCACGGGGCCGGAGGTCATGTACTTCATGAGGGTGGGGAAGAAGGGCCTCTCCTTCAGGTCGATGTAGTGCTGCTCCAGCAGTTGCTGGGGGGCCTGCAGCGGAGACAGGGAGTGCATTTATGAAGCATCACAGGTGAACCAACCTACATTTAAAACCTTGTATTCATCATGTCAGAAAAGGGAAAGGGTTTATGCTCGAAGGTTCATCTGACCACCTTCT